CAGTGAAGGGGAACAGTAACTCGAGAGAAGGCACCAACCACGGGAGGCCAGAGGGCAGCATCGGCTCAAGGACAGTGTGCATAATGTTTGGGGAAAGCGGGGCTGGACACAGGGAACTCTGGGAGGAGGCGGGTGGAGGTGCCGTCAACGAGACAAACAAGGTGCTGGAGTTGCTGGAAGGAAAACGGACCTGCTTCGTCGACCTTCCCTCCAGTCACAGCAGGAATTTGAAACCCGTCTAAGCAAAAAATTTCAAAGTTAAAAAGAGAAAGGCGTTTTCCCACAAACTTTTGATGCCCCCTTGCCTAACAATTCGGCAACTCTACCTACAGAAATCCTCCTCCCCACGCTTAATAGGCTGCTTCAAATCCTCCCTAGGATAGGAAACAAGATCTTCAACCTTCTGAGAACACCATGTAAACAAAGAAACAAGATATGGGGGCGAGGTTGGGGGCACAGGCCAAGGAGCAAAGTGTTTCTCTGTGTTGGGATGAAACCGGTTCAAAATTGATCGATCACGGTGCTCGTTTCACAACTCTGTGAAGGTGCTCAACCCATGGACTCACACGCCAGTGAATTACAGATGCCATATGAATTATCTATCTCTCAGAACATTTGGTTTGTTTTTTAAATAATGTTAAGCGTTCAAGGAGCCCTAATGTGCATGTTAGTTGCGCCCAAGTGTTCAGCCTTGTCACCCTTGTTGGCTTCGTTTTAGCTCTGTCCATTTGCAGAGTAGGTGAGCTCTGGGTAGGTACGCTCGCCTAGATTCAGAGGTGGAGTGGGGAAGATGGCTTCTGGGCCCCCAGCCCTCAGGGCTTTCCTATTTTTTGTTTGAGTCATCTAAGAATGATTCTTCAATTCGGTATTGGCCGTAGACAGTCCTCACCTCCCTTTAGCCTTGACCCCAGCCTGGTGTCCCACTGACTTCCTGATCATGCCTGCCTTTGAGAGACCGCTTCTGGGAGCAGCCTGGAGTGCTGGCCCCTGGAGTAAGCGTCCAGTTCTGGAAGGGCTGTGTCTGAGGCCCGTGCCTCTCTTGGAGCTGATGTAATCCTGGACCCTGAGCCCAGGATCTTAGCTGCTCGTCTTTCTTGCTCACAGCCGCAGTTTGTCTTATTTTTGTAAACAAAGAAACAACTTTTTGTAAAAAGTTGATGGATTCCATTTTAACAGAAAAGCCTTCTCTACTTGCTGGGGACACCGGGGCTTACAGGGGTCGATGCTTTTTTTTTTTTTTTTCCAGATGGGAAGTTTCATGTCCTGTGAGTTTGACACATGAACCCTACAGACGACACCTGGTGTCTGCAGGCTTGACCCTGCTTCCAGGCTGACAAGCTCCTTCTAGGAAGAAGGTCCTGAATCCCCATTTTTATGCCAGAAAAGTCCGAAGGTGCCTGGGATGGAGAAGATGGTGGGAGAGGGTGTCCTCCCAGACACTGTTAGGGGATCTGTGGACAAAGAGGCCTCCAGTAAGGAGAGAAGGGAAAGGACACTAGCATGTCAGGCCAGCTTGTCCTGTGGCAGAAAAGCAACTGTGGACACAAGGAACTAACTCCTCCGAAACTCGCAGTGGGGGTTCTACCCTGTCATAACGGGTCGCTATGAGTCGGCATTGACTCGATGGCAGTGAGTTTGGAGGGTCTTGGTCCCCCCATTTTATTCAGACACCAGCAATAACATCCTGGGGACCAGTCGCAGGAAGCACACTATGGCTCTGCCATTCTAGGCTGAAGATGCCATCTCTAACTGGAAATGGATCACCTTATGGCTAATGTGTGGGCCCTACAGTCAAAGGACATAGGCTCTAGTCCCTCCCCTGTCACTTAATGGCTGTGAGCCTTGGTGCAAGTTCGTCCCTGAGCCTGAACTGCCTCATCTGCTAAGTCCAGATAATAAGAATTTCCCCCTGAGAAGTTCAGGGTGGACCCTGCGTGAGAATCCATGCAAACTGCACAGCCCAGACCGGTCCACCATAAGCACTCAGTAACCATAGTTCCCAGTTAACACTCCAAGAAGATAACTTAGTGGTACCAATCTCACTCTATAAAGGAAAAAGGCACCAGGACACAGAGAGGTTTCCTCATTTGCCCAAAGTCACACAGCATCCTAGTGAGTGGCAGGGCACAATGATTTGAGGAGCTATGGCCTCTTGGATGTAGTATCTGTGGGGATAACAGGGGTGGCAAGAGGTCTCTTTTCTGCCTAGCCCACTATGCCACTAAGGTTTCTACAACTTTGTTAAAAACAAAAAACAAAACAAAAAAACACTTCACTCTCTGCTATCAAGTCACTTTTGGCTCATAACCACCTTGTATGGCTGGGTAGAACTGCTCCCTCAAGTTGCCGAAGCTGTAAATCTTTACGGGAATAGAAAAAAGCCTCTCCTTTCTCCCATGGAGTTGCTAATGGGCTTGAACTGCTGACCTTGTGGTTAGTAGCCCAACATATAATCTCCCACCTTACCAGATCTCCTACAGTTTAGTAATCGAAAAAAAAATTTTTTTCAAAAAAAAAACACTGCCATGGGGTCAATTCCAACTCATAGAAACGGAGTAGAACTGCCCAGTAAGTAGGTGGAAAACAGCGTTTCTGCGGAGGAGCTTCTGGAAACCAGGGAGCTGTTTGGCTTGCTTGTTGGTGAGTGGATGAGACAAGGATGAGAAGAGCACGCTCCTTTTGCAGCTGTCAGGCCCAGAGTCTCCCTGAACGGAAAATGACTTCAGGAACTCATTATTTCTGGCCATAAAAAGTGCCAGATTCCATCTGTTCTCATGATAAGGGGTTAAAATGCTCACTTCTTAACAGAGAGAAGGTCTGCAGACCATTCAGCCCATAAAACGGGCCCTTCTGCGAAGCCGGTGGCCGAGGGTCTCCACAGACATGCTCTTCTGCATCCTCAGGGACGGCCGCGCCACCCTCCCACCTGTGCAGGGCTTTCATTTTCCCCACCTGCTCTCCTCGGCACTCTGGGAAGTTCTGTTGCCCTGGCTGACTCTTGTATCTGTGTCTCACCCAACTCTTCATGTCTTCCGTGGACACGCCACCTCCCTAAAGCAGAGACAGAGACAACTGACTAGAAGACCGTGTGAACCTCAGCTTGGTGAGCTGCGACCAAATTATGTAGATGGTGCCCGGCTACCTGCTCCGAAAGAGCTCACAGCAGAAGGTCCTGGATCACAAGGGAGAGAAATGTGAAACAACATTCAAAATCATAAAACCAAAGGCCAGGGTTACGGGTTGGGTAGGAACTGGGGGAACCCCCGAGAGTATGGCCCTGAAGTCACCCTCCAGAGATGGTGGGGAGGTCTCATCCCCGTGGCTTGGTTCTCAGCCAAACCATAGACCGGTCTAGAACGCGGACACCACAGCAGCAGGGAGCATGCACTCCGAGTGACCAACCAGTGGCAATGACAAGATCTGAAACTGCCCCAGGACAAAGGTCAGAAGGCAGGAAGGGGTGAGGGAAGTAGGGGGGATGGGAACAGGAAACAAGGAGGAAGTGGGACTCGTGACACCACCTTGTGGAGATTGCAGCCAATGACACAACACCACGGTGGGCGTAAGCCCTCCCTCAAGTCTCAGTCAAAACCTTTTAAAAGAATAACACACGCTGTCGCCTGCTTAAAGAGACCTTCTTTGACTACCCCATGGGAAGGAGGCTCCCACCCTGTATTTCTCACCGGCTCCCTTGAATAATCTGCTTCCTACACTGGTACCTCCCCTTCGCCCATGTTTCCAAGGCGCATGTCAGCTGCTTCAGCCTGGGTTTGGCCCCTGGGAGATACTGGGAGGTACCGGGAGAAACTGGAAGATGGGAAAAGTCAAGGTAGCGTATCTCTAGCTTGGGAGGCATCTCGCAGATGCTGTGTCACCTCTTCTCTCCAGTTCCCCACAGACGGTCCCACCACGGGTCAGCTTCCCCTGGGGACCCTACTCTGGGCCCCAGAAACACCACCCTGCTCCAGGGTCTCTCCAGGTCAGGGCTGGAAGCTGCTTCCTCCCCGGCCTAACTCTCCCCTCTGCTTGACATCTCAGCAATCTACCACCTGGGCAACCGATCCCCCCAACGTACTGCCCACACTAAAGCCCTCAAGTGGTTTTTGTTTTTCTAGTTACAATGTATCATTTAATGAGTTTGTCCAATTAGTTAATCACTGTCAGGTTCACAGTGAGTTCCACAGGGCCAAACCTGTTCTCTGTCTTGCTCACTGTCGCCTCTGCTGCACCCAGCACAGCACCTGGCAAACAATATGCTAAAGAAATGCCACGTGACAATGAGAAGAAGGAATATTGGTGTGCCCCCAAGAACCTCTCCTACGTTACGTCCTGAAGGGAAATTGAGTTGCACTTCGGGCATGGTGTTTATTTGTGCACGTGATTTGTCATTAAAGTAGCAACAGAGAGAATGGGGTTTCTGAGCTTTTGAACCACAGGTATAAGAGACCTCCTTCAAGAACTAAGTGGTCATCCCCCACCCCCACCCCCACCCCCTCAGAAAACGTAAGGAGAGTAATGGTATCCTGAGGGTACCGGAAGGGGGGAGGAGAGGGAGTTGATAGCAGTGATGACTGTAGAACCCTACTGAAGGGGAGCGAACAACAGAATTGTAGGTGAATGATATATTAGATCGTGTAAGATACAGCTATAAATTACATACATACATACAATAATAAGGGTTGGGGCATAAAAAGGAACGGATATTAAGGAGGTCAGTAAGAAAGAGAATGTTTTGAAACTGATTGTGTACAAGACTGCTGGAGGTGACTGAACTATGGAATGTTACGATATCTGTAAGAAAGAAGAAGTAAGTGGTAGATGAAATGGTCCAGGTTAAGAAATCAGCATGAAAACGTGGATGGGAGACCCACTCAGCTCCCACTGCACTCGGGGACATGCAGGTCCCCATGAGGCACCTCATCTCCGGGCACGCACCCACACACAGTTGGCCTGGGCTTGTACAACCAGGTGCCCCCGAAAGCCGAGCCTTGGGAACGAACCTTTTGGTGGTCTCGATAGATTTCTGCTCGGCCAGCTCCTTCTGCAGCTCCCTCTCCTTGGCTTCCTTCTGCCCGATGGGGCAGTCCTCAGGGACAGTGAAGAGGGACAGGGCATCTTTGCTGTCCTCCTCGCGCAGCACTTTAGCGAACACCTTCTCGGCCAGCAGCCGGACTTGCTCGTCCACTTCAGAGATGTTCAGCTTGGGGAACTGGCGCGGCATCTCGGCTAGAAACGCAAAGTCAGGCATTAACCGTAATCAATGACCGTCACCAGGACAAGAGGCGGCGGAGTGAGGAAGGGGGCAGCATTCAAGGAAAAGCCAGCCCTCCTTCTCCTCCCCCCCCCCCACACCTCCACCCCCAGTCCTTGGGTCAGTTCTCTGGTCAGGATTTCCCAAACCCAGCACACCAATTTCACAATTCCTCTCAATAAGCCACTGGGCATGAACAGTGCAGGGCCAATGACGTTTTGCAAGAAAGCAAATAAACCAAAAGTCAAAGAAGGAAGAAACTGTCCAACCAAGGGTGCGTGGGGAACCAAGTGTCCTCAGTTGGGCCGTGCCTGGGGTCTGCAGCCCGCAAACTCAGAAGGGAGAGGAGAGGATTCTGAAGCCACCCTCCTCCCGACCACGAGGAGACTGAGTTACAGGTGCCACAGCCTTCAAGCCCGACTCCCCCACTTCATATGAGGAAGACAGAAGCCTAGAAGGCGTCACATCAGCCCGAGGTCCCCAAGATTACAGCAGAGCCAGGGGATCTAACACCGCATTCTTTGTGGCAAATCACAATGCTGCGGCCACCACTCCTCACCCCGGAGAACAAGCCACAGCAAACAAAGGACGACCTCACCCCGGCGCACAGTGGTTACAAGTTGGGCTGCCATCCTCAAAGTCCAACGTTTGAAACCACCAGCTAGCTGCTTCTACTCTCATCAAGAGCCAGAGCCCCAGAAAGCCCCAGTGGCAGTTGTGCCCTGTCCTATAGGGTCACTGTGAGTCGGCCTCCTCGCAATGGCAGCGAACTGAGTGAGAGCCAGAGACACACTTGCCCCGAGAAGCGTTGCCTTCTCCGCCTCTCTGCCTTGGGGCCCACGCCCAGTCATAGACGTGTCCCATTTCATTCTCTGTCCCCTCCTTTGTATGCCCCTCGCCTTCGTGCCTTTTCTTTCCTTAACGAACATCTCTCTCGTCCTTATTACATACACCTGCCAGGCACAGTCTGTATACCGACCCTGTTAACCCTTCTAATCCCATCTTACAGATAACGAAAATGGAGGCATGGAGGGCCAGCTCGCCCAGGGTCCCCATTTTACTGAGTGGGCAGAGCTCTGTGCTGCTCTCAGCCTCCCCACACTGTCCCCTTCTTCTCTGAACCTCTGCTCTGGGACTGGACCCAGGCACCGGTCCCCGAGTCCAAGCGCTTCCCCCCCCTCCCAACGCTATGCTGCTGCTCTTTGTCCACCCATTTGGGTGTCAGGGTGGAGTCTCCCACTGTCCTTAGCAAGACCCTTGGGAGGGATCGACCTATACCCTATCAACACACTGCCTCCCACAGGAGCCAGTCTGCAAGAGATGTTCCCTGCCCACCTGGTAGGAGCACTTCTTTAAGACTGGTTTAAAGAGAGGTGTGGTTTCCCTGGCTAGCCCACAGAGGAGGGGGAGGCCATTACAGGGAGAGGGTCCTCAAGCACAACCTTGGGTCAGTCTGTAAGATAGAGGCATTGGCTTAATGGTCTACAGGGTCCTCTCAGTCGGTCCTAACTGCCGCAATCGTAGTAACCAGGCAGGTTTCCGGTGCCTGGGGGGGGGGGGGGGGTGTCCGGGGGCCTCTGGCCAGAACTCTGTGCTGCACATGGGGTCAGAGTCGTGGCCCAGAAAGGAGTGACATGGGCTAGAAACAGACTTGGAACGGGAGGCAAAGTTTTGGCTGAGGTCCCTTCACTGTGAAACCAACTTCGCCCTCAGCCCACTCCCAGGGAGATGCCTTTCCTGGGAGTCTCTCACTGCACTCTGAGGGGGCTGGGTGGAAGGGAGCGATGGGGGACGAGGCACCTCGACCAGGGAGCACAGGCTGCGGACGCCTGTCCCCACTCGGGAGGACCCTGGCTCTGAGGAGAAGGTGGTAGACAGCAGCACAAAGAACTAGAAACACAGGAGACGTGTCAGGTTGGTAGCGAGCAGGACCCTCACCCCCAAGGCTAAATCCACGGGTTAACTCCCTCACTTCCCAAGCTCCCATCGTACCTCAAAAGGTAGACAGACATCCCACAGACCCCAGCCAGGGGCTGTAATGCCACAAAGATGCATAACGCTTGACCAAGCAGTGCATCTTCTAGAAATGAATGTGTTTAAAGCAAATAGTCCCTCCCGGGGCAGGGAGGGAAAAAAGCACAGAGCCATTTACTTGAGCTTTTTATATAAATAGCTTTGACATGTCCAAAACTGAGCATATTCGTGTGCGGGGGTGGGGAGGTTGTTAAGCAAGCAGAAGTAGAATTCCAAGGATAGTGCAATCACATTTTGTGAAATAACAGTAAAGGGAAGCAGATACACAGACTGGATTACAACAAATGCAACTAGCATGTCCAGACTGCGGTCGGCTGAATGAAGATGCATCCCCTCAGAGTCAAGGGCAACAGGAGAGGCCTTCAGAAGGGCCGGAGGCAGGACGGCCTGGGCTGAGCGGTGTCTTGTTTTCATAATTAAGGTCATTGCCCTACTGCGTTTAATACATGCAAAGAAGGTAAAAAGGAAACGAACAGACTTCAGACTGGATAGAAAGAAGGGAAATTAAAGAACAAAACGAACAAACAAAAACCCCAAATGGGCGGTTTTGAGCAACTAGTGCTGTCTCTCATTTACCCCACACCCGAGAGAAGCCACCCAGTAGGAATGAAGCCACTTAGACCTATCTCCACATCAGCTCCCCGCCGGGCATGAAGCTAACGACCACCACCTTCCTCCCCCAGGGGAGTGCACAAATATACCCTGGATGGACCCAGGTTCACCCACCAGCTGCCTCTCAGAAATAGCTGAGGGAGTTCCTGGGGGGGGGGGGGGGGGGGGGGGGGGGGGGGGGCGGGGATGGATGGTGAGCAAGCCAGCTGCAAGCAGCAAGGCTGGAGCTTCAAGTCCACCAGAGGCGCCTCAGAAGAAAGCCCTGGTGAACTCTCTCTAAAGCATCAGCCCTGAAAGCAGGAAGGAGCGGTTTTACCCTGACACACACACACACACACACACACACACACACACACACACACACACACACACACACACACACACACACACACAGAGTCACCAGGAGTCAGAGCTGGCTGACCAGCAAGTGGTTGGGGTTTGGGTTTTGAATGCCCGAGGGTTTTTGTTTTTTTGCCAGATCCTGCCATATTTTTCCATGAAACATGTTTAACTTGTTTAAGTCAATAAAGAGACATTTCAGAATGTATCTGTCAACACGTGTCGGTTAAATCAGCCTTTCCCAGGCAGGGTCTCAGGGCCATCCCACCAATAACTAACTAACTAAATAACCAAATCCTACAACTTGGCCAGGTGATACATCTCCATGGAAGCAGTGCCACGTCTTTCTCCAGGTGCCGACAGGCTCAACCAGCCGACCTTCCAGGCACTTTAACCACTGCTTTAACCACTGCACCACCAGGGCTTGCTAAGTGCATCTCAAGAGAAGGCAATACCTCCTGCAGGGAAAAGAGCTCTCGCGGTCAGTTCGCTGAGGAGTGGCTGTATTCCACAGCCCTTCACTCCAATCCACCACACACGGGACCTCGTGAGAGACTGACTGACTGCAGGCTCGTAGGCCAGCCCTCCCCCCAGAACCCACACGAGTCTCCTCGTATCAGGGTCAAAAATCACCAGCAGAGAATTCGCCCTGTGCCTGAACTTACTTAGGGTGGACCCCGTAACGCCACTTGGGGGGGCTGTGCACAGCAGGCTCATCTTGGGGCCATTCTTGGTAACAGCTCCTACGTGCCAGTCTTTCCCATTCAGAACTGCCTCTTCTGTCACACCCACTGGCGCCTGCCAGAGCGGTGTGCGGGGGAGAGCCATCACCACACATGGCCAGCTGCCTGTTCACGCCTGACTTCCCCTGTTTGTCCGTTGAAGCCAGCAGACTTAACTGTGAGTTCACTGACATTAGTCAGCTATTGATACAGCTTATCACACTGTTACACACTACACCCTCCATTCAGCTGAAGGAGCTGCCCCAGAGCCACAGTCTTAAGAAGGCACCCATTTCAGAAGAAAGGCACTCTCCCTGGTCTCACGCCGTCCAAAAGGTAGCTCAGGGCCACTCATGCCCTCTCCCTACACACAGGACCGTTCCGTCCAAGTGCCCATCGCCAGAACCCAAGACACAGACCTGAACCTGGTGCTGGAGTCTCCATGACTGACGGTGAGGATGCCGCGGGCGACGCACCTGGGGATCAAGTGCTGCGTGCTGCCAGGCAAGCAGCTGGCCCAGCTGAGTCAGAGCCCAGAGCGGCTCTCTGGGTCTTATCTGCGCTGCTGGGGTGGGAGGTCTCTGCTTTGCATATCTGTGATCGGCACTGAGCGAGAGCAGGAAAAAACCTGGGCTGGAAATTCTTCCCCCAGCATGAAAGGCAAGTGGAAATTTCCCAAGAATCCTAAAGGCCCTAGGTCATGCCAATTATCCAAGGCAATACTTGGCTGTTGGATCCTGAAGGCAGTGCTCAAAGGCTTCACCAAAAAATATACAAGGAAAAAAACAAACCAAGAAACTAAAGCTGCTGTGGCCTCCAGGAAAGGAGTGCATTCGACCAACCGCAGAAGATCAGCCCCGGCCCTCATCCAGTGCCCTCCACCCCTGCCCGCTGAAAGCTGAGTGGCAATGCGGAAACCATCACCTCGCTGCTTCCGCTTGGAATCCCACTTCAGCTTGGCAACTGCTTCCTCTTACCCAGGGCATAGCTCGGCACATCCTGCCTTGCCCACACTCACCCGGACCCCCAAAGCAACCCTCTGGCCACAGCAGCCCAAGGGCAGCAGGCAGAGGTCTGAGCCTGGCTGCCAACATGCACCCCTCTCCTTCACCTCCACAAGAAAAGAGAACCATGCAGTATTCCCTCCTTCCCGGGGAAGGGGGAAGGCCTCCACGCAGGGGCAGACAGCTGACCCGGGTGGAAGCTGTCCTGCACCTTCCCTTCTTGGCTGAAAGAGGCTGCAAGTTATAGGTGACTGGGCAGCCTGACCAGACCCCCCATCACAGCCCCCATCTGACCCTCCTGAGCCTCCCACCCCCCGCCCCCAGGTTCTCCCCACTTCTCACTGCCATTCATGGCCCCCACGTGGGCTTCCAGGCTGAGCTGGGCTGGATCTGCCACCCTGCGGCCAGTCAGCAGTTCCGCCTGCCCCGAGGAAGGTGGAGCCTGGCTCAAGTGACCTGCGGAGGAGTTCTCTCACACCAAGCAGGTGGATTAAAGCAGTATCACAAGGCACAGAGCTCTGGGTTTCGTCTGTAAAGGGCCGTCCTGTGAGATGGCTAGGAACAGTCACGCAGCCTCCAAGTGACTTAGGTAAATAATATGGGTCCGCGGGAAAGAGCCATGAGCAGAATGGCTATTCCTGTGGTCTGTTGAAATCCTGGGGAAAAGGGCCCAGGAAGGATGGGTCAGTTGTTTACCGGCAGGCCAGATCTAGCCCTGACTTAGACCTGAGTCACCCCACCCCACCCCCGTCCTGTTGTGAGGTTGTGCCTCGCTGAGCCCACATCATCATTCCTGTGAGCGCACAGAGCAGAATTACAGGGCCGACACATGATCCCCGGGCATCTGCTGGGCTTTAGCTGCCCAGAGATGATGACCCACCTGTCCTCACAGCTGTTTCATAAACAGCACAAGCAGCAGACTACAAGCAACCTAGAGAGAGGGTAATATATAATATTCATTAAATAATTAAAAGGACTTAGAGCTTAGAGAAGAAGAGGAAAAATAAAAAGCCTCAATATTGCTTTTCCAGAAAGGAGGAGGAGCAAGGAAACCGTTATTTTTGTGGAGTGTGTGTGTGTGTAGGTAGGGAGGGGGGTTGGAGTGGGAGCATTACCCACAGATCTGAAAACATACGTAGGCCCAACACATGGAGGGAGTTTAAATCTGCACCTTTAGCCAGACCCTGGAGAGATTTAACAGAACAAGGCTCCACGGAAGTGCAGGTTTGTAGAACATAACAGGTCAGGAGGCTTGGAAAACACCGCAAACCATAGTCCCTTGTATGGGTTCATGTACAAGTTGCTTACGCTTGTTCAACTCAACACATTGATTTGACCCTCCAGTGCCCCCATACAAAAACAAGGCTCTTAATAGCCTGTGGTTGGGGAACGTCTACTTTGAGCCTTAACTTTTCTAACCTTGAGAGAGCTGCCTTCCCGGAAGGACCAAGCTCATTAAGGAACTTTCCTTCCTAGCAGGGGCCCAGGCTTCCGGTGAGACCTGCCCCATCAGGACCAGACAGGTAACACCCCACTGAGATGGCACACACAGGTTGAAATAACGAGCCAGGGTCTGGTTAAAGTCAAAGGGTGGGAAGATCCTCCGGAAGGGTGGCAGCTTATGAGGAAAGCATAGCTCTGTCCCAGGAGGTCCAGCTCTGGGAGCCTGACATCTCACTGCTCCTTGTAGCCTAGACAGCTCCTTGGTCACACTCCACCCGCTCAAAGCCTTTTTAGTGCTCCTTTGAATGGACATGAAGACCCTCTGTGATAGCCAGGCCCAGAGCCTGCATCTCACAAGTTACCCTGCCCTGGCCAGCCCCAACTGACAGGGAAGGCTGCCATCAAATTAGATCCCATCAAGAAAGGCATCGATCCTCCCAGCCACTCCCAAGTAAAGATGGAGGGGCTTGCCAACAAGGGTCCATTTTATTTTTTTCTTATTTCCAAAGTGGGCATGGTTCAAGAGTTCGGCGAAGGGGCCCCATCGGCTAAGTGCCGACTCCAGACAGACCACAGACCGTCTCGTTCAGTACTGCACCCTGGTGGCTGGGATCCAATCGGGACTTAATCATTACACGTGGGATAAACACTTGCATAAAATCAATGACTGAGGGGTGAGTCAAGTTGATGAGTGTGCCTGTGGCAATCTGGAGTCGGTCGCGTGGACTCGAGCCAGACTTCCTGAGTTTGAATCCTGGCTCCAACACTTAGCTACGTAGCGCTGGACCAGTTACTAAACTTCACTGCCACTCAGTATTAGTCCCTATAAAGGGGGAAGCCATGATGATTGAACTTATTCACATTTACGGCAAGGTGCTTAAAATCGTACCTGGCCCATAGTTTGTGCTTCAGAAGTCTGCTCACCCTCACTGTGTCATCACCATTGTTATCACCATGGGGCCAGGTGTAAGGGAGGCAATGAGCATCAGGTTTTGTCTGCACACTCAATCCTTTGGGCATGATTTATTGAGCTCCATTTTGTCCAGACCCTCTCCCAAGCTCCTATTTGGTAATCACTAAAACCAAACTCATTGCCATCAATGCCAATGCACAGCAACCCTATAGGACAGGGGCAACCTGTCCCGGAGAGTTTCCGAGACTGTATTTATGGGAACAGAAAGCCCTGCCTTGCTCCATCTGTGCACTGTGGTTTTGAACTGCCCCTTACAGACTGCAGCCCAACGAGTCACCACTGTGGCACTCCATTATTTGGGCTCCTTTATTGGGGAATAGGAGCTAGGGATTCCTTTTTAAAATATGAAGCCTCCTTTATGAATGCTACTTCTTGGTAACTGAGCAGAGTGAAGACTCCAGTATTTTTTTTTTCTTTAAGCCTCCAGTCTTATGCCCATCCTCCTATGCCCTCATCCCTTCTATATCAGCAGCCCATTGACTCCAGACCTAGATATGTAGCCAGCACCCGGAACAACCAAGGGATTCATTTACTCGAGGGAAGAACCAGGAAGGCCAATGAGCACCTTTGGAGGAGAAAACGTATCTCCCTGCTGAATGCCAAGGCTAGGCTCTATCAGCTAGGCATCTTCAATCCAGGAAATGACTGAGAGGTCTTTTGGAGAGTGGTTCAGCGAGAATCGAGGATCAGAGCAAGAACAGATCCTATTCCTAAAGAACTTCCTCTCCCGTTAGGATCTCAGTTTGACAGGCGAGCACTGATGCTGGCCAGAGGCCCCACAGAGAGGTCAAACGCACCCTGCAAGCATCACTGTTCTTGGAGAGGCCAACCCCGTGCCACCATCTTCAGGGCGCAAGTCTGGCCCCTGGCAAGCCAGTGGTAGGCAGAGATGCAGCCAGGCCAGGCCAGGCCAGCTCTCCCAGACCTGCTGTCAACAACTCTGAAGAGGTGAGAACTGGCAAAGGTTCGGTTGGCCTGGCTCAAGGGTGTCACTGCCACTCAGTGTCGGAACTCCACGGGCAAGGGAGGAACTTCTCTGAACTGTCAGCGGCACTGGAAGATGGCTTCATGTCCGTTACCACATCAAGGGGCCTGGCCAACCAGGGCTCGGGATCCTGCTAGCATAACTCTCTGCGCTCTAGTGCTCATGCAGCTCTGTTGCGAATTTTCCATCACCAAGCTTCCAAACGCATTGGAGGGAAAATGACACTCTCATCAGTGAGCTTCTCCTCCTTCAGGGCCTCTCAAAACTCACCAGGAGGCCTCTGCCAGTCAAGAGGAGATGCTGGCAGCCCCGCTGGCAAAGCAGCCACCAGGGAGCTCAAGGGCAGAAAGCTGGCTCCCAAAACGCAGGCCATGCACCTCCCTGGTCAGAGAGAGCCAGCTACGATGTGAGGATGAAGGTCTCAAAGCGACCGGGACACCCAGGCATCCAGCCCCTCCCTTGGCCTCCTAGTGGAAGTCCTCAGTTGTTCTATCAGGCCAGTCCGCAAAACCGAAAAACTAGCCCTGACACTTAAGTGGCAGAACGTCCCGGGAAGGTCCCTTCATTTTCTAAACCGGGCAGGTGCAACCCAGGCCGCCAGGGAGCCTCTGGGGAACTCCGGCCACTGCAGCGGCAACCGCAGGGCCATTGTGAGTTGCGTTGGCGCCCAGGCTTTTAAGAGCAGGGCAGCCTTGGGCGGAAGCTCGGGCCCCGGGGCGCCCCCCACGCCCACCCTGGTCCGCGGGGTGCCGTGGGTCCAAAGTCAGCAGTGGGTCCCCGCCGCACTCACCGGGTTCGGGAGACCGGGCCATGCCGCGGGCCGGGGCGGAGCGCAGGGGACGACGACGCAGGGCAGGGCGCACAGCGACTGCGGCGGAGCCGGTTCCCGGGCACGAAGGCCACGGCGGTCGGGGACCCGGCCAGGCCGCGCCCCCCTTGCGGGCTCGCGCTCGGCG